GTTCATAGAGCATCAGTTGATTTATCCCAGCAGTCTGCATCAGCTGAAGGCTCAAACAAGAGCAGAAAAAAGAAGAAGAAGGTTCCTTCTTAAAATTGCTTTTTTCCATTACATGAATAATCTCATTTACATGTTTATAATTTGGACATTTTCACTCTTGTGACAACATTTATGTGCTTCCAGTAAAATTCCACTTATATTTTTTTCTGCAGCACTGTTTGTTACCGTTAAAGTCCAAATGAAGGCAACGCCAGTGAAATATGCAAAGTTGCAAGGAAAAATAATTTCTGACTCTCTGTAGTTTGAATAGCATCACAATAATGGAGACAGGTGTTGACCAGTAGTCAAACTTGAATTCTGTTCTCTCACTGATTATAATATTGGCTGCTCATTTAAGCTGACATTCCACAATTTCTGTTTGGAAAATATGTGTACTCCAATTTGGAATAAACATTTTCTCTTCATTTACTCTCAGTGTTTTGTCTATTCATGTATTACAGTGCTTGATATTTATTTGCCTTTTATCACAGTTTTACAGTGAGGTTATGTTACAATCAAAAGATATTAAGTAAACTTCACTTCTTCTTTCTTAACTCTGCTTCTTCCTCATGTTGACATGGTGTGCAATTGCATACTGGAAATGTAACACTGCAAACAAGTTCTGAGATGGCACATACAGAGTGTGTTATTCCTCCAGTTACAACTGGTGCCAGTTCATGAGCATGTTCTTTTGTATGAAGAAATCACAGACATTAAGGTAAGAACACAGTTTGAGGATGTAAGTAGGATTTCAGTTTCTTATGGCTGTCTTCTTGGTCATAGTGCTGTCTCTCTTAGTTTGGTAGAAGTTTACCAACCCATGTTTCAGAGGTAAACTTTTACCAGACTACATGGCACTACAACCAAGAAGACAGTCATCTACAGACTGAGGATGTATCAAAACAATGTGCTTAGAAGAATATCTGGACCCAAGAGGAATGAAGTGATGGAAGGCTGCATAGTTTTTATTTATAAAACGATATTAAATGATCAAATTGAGGTGGATAAGGTGGGTGGGTTATATAATGTACATGGGGAGATGAGAAATGCAGATTTGGTTGGACGGCCTGAAGAAAAGTGATAATATGTAAGAAGTAGTTATGCCTTGGAGGGTAACATTCAGATAGATTTTAGGGGAATAGGGTTTCAGACTGTTCATGGGATTAATCTATTTCAAGATAAGGGCAGATTGCAGGCACCTGTAAACATGGTAGTTAATATATGGGTTTGATAAGAGATGAGGAATTCTAACCTACCTTTTTCAACTTCTTTACGATAAATCACTTTTAACACTGAAAATCAGACCGTTCGATTTACATTTGGTGTTGGTAATATTGTCACTGTTCACGTGGCTTCCAGCATATCCAGTTCCTGCCGTGTCTGACAACATGTCAAAAATGGCGGAGGGCTGTCCTAGCAAAAATGATATGCAGTTGGTTTTTAATAGATTGCGGTCCATTAATACAAATAAGGTTCGTATTGTTTCAGAATTATGCAGTTTTCAAGCGTGATACTTAGTTTTTTACAGTATGATTTGGCATTAAGGGTTTAGTTTTCGATAGAGTTGGCATATGAACTAATATTTTCGTAGTGCATGAAGCTTTTATTTATTCTTCGTCGAGTTCATTTAAGTTAACGTAGGAACGTCATGAAATCTTTAGGCAGTGTTTATAAAATAGTGTATCCACAGATTTGTGGTTTTACGAAAAATTTGAATTTATTTTAACTCCATAGGTCCTTTATAATCTAAGGTTGTAGAATATATTTTAAATACAAATGCATGGTAGAAACACGTAACGAATAGTGATAGAAAGTTAGATGCATAATTAGTTGTTACAGGTATTTTAGTACAACTTATATTATTCATTTGCAGGTGTGCTTTGATTGTAATGCCAAGAACCCTACTTGGGCCAGTGTTACATATGGTGTATTCATATGTATTGACTGTTCTGCTGTCCATAGAAGTTTGGGTGTCCATGTTACATTTGTTCGTTCTACTCAGCTAGACACGAATTGGACTTGGCTTCAACTGCGACAGATGCAGCTGGGTGGAAATGCAAATGCGGTCAGTAAAATAATTTTCACGCTGTAGTTTTGTTTCAAGTGTTCCAGATTTCATATTTAATTGAACTCATTGTCACATATTCTTAATGAATCTAACATATTTCAGTAGGTTACATAGTGACAGGCAGGTATTATTGTTCTTGTTCCTGGATTAAGAATTTCATTTTATTGTGGGAAAATTTAGGTCAGGCAGTATGACTGTTTCTAGGGTAGTAGATGATGGATCATAACCACACGGTATGATTATATGAGTAACAAACACCATGGTGCTGAGTCCTTGAAAAGCTCATAGTTATTTAGTTAACCACAGCTTTTTATGCCTTTTATGATTCCCGAAGGTATATTACCATGTTTAAAAGAGCCTGCCTCTAATCCAGTTGATATGTATTCTCCCAGCATGTCTTTCAGATTTTTCAAATATTTAATTTCTCCTCCTCGTGGTATATGCTTTTGATTATTAAATGTGGAGGAAGTGATGTATGTGAAATATTTCATATTTTAGTTAACATTCTTCCGACAACACAATTGTATAACAACTGATTCCCAGCAAAAATATGCGTCTCGTGCTGCTCAGAAGTACAGGGAAAAGCTGCACCATATGGCTATTCAAGCAATGAGGCTTCATGGCACTAAGGTACTATTTTTAAATTCTAATTCGAGCAGTGGTATGTAATGTTAATGAAAAAGAACAGGGACTTTGTTATGTTGGGTGGGTCCTTGTGTTTGTAATCATTCAAATTATAGGTGGTTTATTTTTTAAATAATATAAACATATTTTAATTTGTGAAGTAAATAGTAGAACAAAAATTTAATGGTGTGAAGGTCTTTATTTGTGAATTAATATTTTTATGCCACTATGTTGTAAAAAGCACATAACACTGTGCTCTTTTGTTGTTTGAAAGTGCTAGAATATTTACTTCTGCGATGTCTATCTGCACTAATACAGGTTCCAGAAAGTTTTCTTTGGCCCAGAATAACAATGTTTATTCAGTTCCCAGGTTTAGAACCATTTATAATCAAGCTGATTTCCAGTTTAGCCAAAAATGGTAACTGCAGACCATGTTTGAGCGTCTGGTGATCTCATAGTAAGCCGTATCTTAGTGAGAAAGCTGCTTCAATTCTGGTTATGCCATTACTAGGCTTCACAGTGATTAATGTTCTGTTTCTCCTCGTGAATATCTTTCAATCGCTCGCCCTGAATCTGCTATATTGTTTTCATCTTCATGTATTCTCTTAAACCTTATTTCTTTGTTTATCACAACAGCTTGACATGGGATCACATCCTGAGGCTGCTATAATTTCCCCTTCTCAGAATATGTCATCACCTTCTGTGGTGAGCCTACTTTACCACGTAGTTTTGTAACTAATCTGAACAATTTCTAATTATGCCTGTATACTCTGCTTTCTTTGACATTGCATAGAGTTTGTGAGGTTTTCTTATGTTTGGTATTGGCTTATTGCAGCATTTAATAAATTTTGACTTCTTGTTAACACATTCTGTTATTTGAAGGAGGGGTTTCAGTGGGTTAGAGGGGCTTAGAAATTATTTTCCAGTAATGGAGAAATAATTTTCATTGTCTACCTGTTTAGAAGATCTAACCACTCACTGATCTCTGTTGTTTATTACGTAACTGAAGAGAGGTGCTCGGAGGGAAAGATAGAATTCTTGTCAGTGGTGCTGTGTGTTGCCAGATATATGCCATGAAAATGTGGGTTCGACGAACATTACTTTGCACGCAAATATTTCATGTATCATACACAATGGATTGAATCTGCTTGTAATGTCTGTATAATAAAGTATGTGAACATGTCACCACTGATAACGTAATTAACTTCAGAATTTGGTGAAAACATTTGATTTGAAATGTTTACACTAACAGTTAATACTTGGGAGCTTTTTCTGCATGGTCTTGGATTTGCTTGTCTGAGCATTTGTTACGTTTAATTCGTCTTGTTTTACATTAATAACTTCTTGTCTGATTTGCCACATTTGTGGTTTTGTTATGTACTCCAGCTGACTCCTTACTTATTAAAACTTCCTCATTTATAATTGCGAGTGAGTGTCTGTGCTATAAAGATGGTGTTGTGGTTTTGTGGTTAGCTTCACTTGGATTCCTCCTCTGAACCAACTCAGCCAGATGAAAAGGAGGAGGAGGAGGATTTCTTCACAGCAACATTAAATGCTGATGTCAGTAATTCTGAAGAGAATGAAGATCACTTCAAGGTACAGCCACTGCAGGTAATTTCAGTAGTGTTTTGGCTTAATTTTGGTAAAGAGGCATTAATGTTGATGGCTGTATTCATTACAAATCACCAAATTTGTATGATCTGTACCTACAGCAGTTTGTTTTATGCCATGCGACAGTGACCAGTCGATATATACGGCAATGTTTTGGTGGTATCTGTAGGCGAAATGCATGAAAGACTCCAGGTGAATGATTTGTTGATTTTAGTCTGTTTTTAGAGCAAAAATTTGCTTTGGACTTGTACCACGTCAATGATGGCTGTCTTCCGGAATGTTGTGCCACGTAGACACAGGATTATGATTCATAGCTTATCGTCTTTGTCATAAACGGTGATGATGGATCCACCAGACTACATGGCGATACATACCAGAAGATGGTCGTCTTCACTCACGTTGCCAGTGTTTGGCATTGTCGTTCATGACAATCAAGTTCAGTCAGAAGATTTTAAAATACTGCAGCTTTGTAGTACTGTCATTGTGGCAAACTGCCTCTGATCCACCGTCATTACATCACTATTCTGCTCCCAGTTCTCATTTGTGCTCTGTTATTGGATTTCATGTTTCTTTTCCTCTCATATTTTCTGTATGTATTTTTTATTTCAGTTTCCTGCTGCAGATCCAGCCATGAATCTTGTGAAGGGCCAACCAAATGTTGACGCTGCCTTGAACACTCAACCTGACACTGTCCAGCAGGAGCTCCGTAAACCAACAATTGGGGGCAGGAAACCACAAGCCAAGCGTTCAGGAGTATGGAGATTACTTGTTTACTTGTTGATAACTTTATGGAGCCCCCCCCCAGCATTGCTTTGTTTACTTGTTGATAACTTTATGGAGCCCTCCCCCAAGCATTGCTTTTCCTTTCCAGTGTAGCTGCTGCTATTTTTGTTGGGCGTTAATAAAGTCTTGGATTATTTAAATTCCAGTTTTGTATGGAAATGCAGTCTTTGCTGCTGGAATCATTTACCAACCACTAAGGACTGTAAATGACTAAAAGTATTTTTAAAACTGCTTAAGGATGTTATAAGTGTGATAATTGAATTAATATTGATATTTGAAAACATCTCTTCCCTGACAGCTGGGGACTAGGAAGGGAGGTCTAGGAGCCCAGAAAGTGAAGACCAATTTTGCCGAGATCGAACGTGAGGCTGTGATGGCTGACCAATTGAAGGTCCAAGCTGCTGAAGAAGCAAAGCTCATAGCAGAGAAGACAACAGAAGATGAACAGAACCAGGTACATAGAATTTCTAATGGAGAAGCCACAAGATATGTGATTTAAAGACGGAACACTTCAGTGCACCAGACATTTTTTTTCATGTGGCATTCTTATTTTGCGTGTTGTATGTATCTTCAGATGCTCACTTCATGTTATTTAATTGATTTTATCTTTATGTAATTAGTTTCTTAAGAATGTTTCTTCAGCTGTAATTTACACTAATCAATCACTGAACATTTGCAGATGGCTTCTATGCGTCTAGCGTACCAAGACCTGAGCTTGCAACAGAAAAAGGAAGAGGAGAAGCTAAAACAAGTTGATCCCAAGAAAGCTCAGCAGATCGAGAGGTTGGGAATGGGATTTGCTTCAAGGGTGTAAGTCCTATGGAGCTCACAAGCTACAGCTGTACTGCATTTGTCTTCTGGGTTGTAGTGCCACGTAGTCTGGTAGAAGTTTCCCAATGGTGGTGCAACCCAGAAGATCTCAATCTTCATACTCAGCAAGTCGTACATACACAGTAGACTTTCACTCTCCCCATCTAGGCAGATTTCGTTTTGTAGTAGCAGTCTCTTCCCTTTTCTCGTCTTCCTCGTGCGTCTCGTCCTCTTTGATTTGATCACCCTAATAATATCTGGTGAAGAGTAGACGCTCCTCATTGTGTGTACTTCTTTGTTCTCCTGTTACATCCTCTTGCTTAGGTCCAGATATTAAATTTGTTCATAGACATCATTAATCAAAGGTCAAATCCCTTAGGGTGTCTGACCAAGTTTTATACCCATTCAAAAATGGGTAAAATTATAATTTGTTGTATTTTAATCTTTGATTCTAGACAGCAGAAAGGCAGATAAAAGATTCTGAACTGTCTGGTAGCAATCATTTGTCAATTTTAAATTTCTCTTCATGATATTGTGAATGCAGTTTGATTTCATACTTATTCAAATTTTAAATTATATATTTATATATATTGGCTGTGTTTATTCATGATTTTGCCCTGCATTCTGTTGATGGGACATGAACATGTACATAATTTTCTTTGCATATACTTGTACACCCACCTCCTTACTAAGTCGCATCTAATTGTAATTAAACCAAGCATCGTGATAAAAATGAAGTTGCTTAGAAGCCTATTACAGATTTACCAGTATTATTTGTACCCCTTTACAAAAATTAAATTAAAATGAGCATTCACTGAAGAAATAAAACTTGAAACCCTTGTAAGTTTCTGTGCGTATTTAGCTTTAGTTTGGAAGCGCGTGTCTTCTGTTTAATGTACGTAACTTTGTTGGCAGAGGTGTGAGCCATTCTGCATTAAGTGACATGAAGACTATTGAGCAAGAGAGTCCCAGTAAAGTGGTAAGCAATTCTGGAAAGTCGGTGTTCGATCGAGATTCAGACCGCGATGGGTTTTTTGATGACTTCCATTTTACCTCACCGTCTCCAGGCTTCAGCATGTGAGTTCTTCATACACACGCGCACACATTTCTAAGTCATTTGTTAAAGATGTTACAGGAATTTGTGGAATTTGATTTTGGCAGTTGATGATATGGATTAGTTGTTTCATCAAAAGCAGCATTTTCTCTTGTGCAACTGTGTCATTTGGCCAGTCTTTCAGTAATTCAGTAAATCTTCCAGTCTGCATCTTTCCATGGTTTTTAATGGTTATAAGCTAGCTTTGGTCTTGAAATCTTGATAATCATCAAATATGTTCTGGTGTATTTGCCATAATTTGTTATCGCAGGTATAAAAGTAGTCCAAATGAAAACAAGAGCCTGGAAGCAATGTTCCTGGATGGTAATACAAGTCGAGACAGATACAGCTCTATCAGAGGATGGGGTTCGTTTGAGCCAGAGAGCAGACAACCGTCATTAAGCAGCTATGCTTCCGATGATCTACCGCCTCCAAAAAGAAAGCATCCCACTTCTGCCCCTTCATCTTCTGATGGTAATGAAGCTCAAAAGAAGTTCGGAAGTGCCAAAGCCATTTCGTCAGAACAGTTTTTTGGTGATTCGACAGACAACAGTGTAAGTTTGTCTCCATTATAGATCAGCATAGTACCAGAAGCAGAGCTTATTATCCTTAATTCTCCTTCTCTCCTCGTTCATTGTGTCTTGTATTTCGGAAAGGATTTTTCTATCTTTAACGTGTGGTTTCTGCGTTCTCATGGTATCGCCTAGTAACATTGTTGATTGTTTGAGAATTACATGTTCTTAATGTTGGAAAGATCCAGTTAACTAATGTGTTGAAGGAAAATTCAATATCCGGGCCATTCTTGATTATGAAGCTTTCTTCAAAGTTCCACTTATCACACCACGCAGTATTAAGAGGTAGCAGCTGTCTTTGGTTATTGAAAAGAATAAAGTTTTTAGCCTTAAAAATTGTAGTTAAAACCTGCAACTCCTCATAATTCTCATGGTGATTATTAAAATATGCTGTTTTACATGTTTTTATTTTATAGTGGGAACGAAAAGCAAATCTCTCGAGATTTGAGGGATCGTCAAGCATTTCATCAGCCGACTACTTTGGCACTGGTAGCAGCCACGACAGTGGGGGCGGGAGTCACCTTACTACCCCAGACTTAGAAGATGTCAAGGAGAGCGTGCGACAGGGGGTCACCAAGGTCGCTGGCAAGCTCAGCTCTATTGCAAATGGTGTTATGTCATCCATACAGGTGAGCAGAGAAAGTCTAGCATCTTCAAGGTTCAAAAGCAGGTTATTAGGAATTTAAATGAGCAAAGAGTAAAGACAAAGTTTTTAAACTTGGAAAAGGTTTAGCTTGAAGATTTATTCCGTCTTCTGGGAATTTGCATTATTTATTCTGGTAGAAATTGTGTGACATTTCAGACGTGCTTATTTGCATCATCATGAAAGATTTTAAACTACCGGGCTCTTCATATTACATGCATGACAACTTATCACTGATTTGTTGCGTGTATGGGGGGAAAACAGAAATGCAAACAAAATTTTAGTTGGAAAACCTGAAAGGGAGATAACATCTTGGGGGAGACTAGGCGTAAATTGGAAGTTGATATTAAAATGGATCTTAAATATGTATGGACTAGATTAAAGTGGCTCACAGTACGGTCAAATGACACGGCACTCTTTAACTGCCAATTTCAACGTCATATGTAGGAAAACTTTAATTTTATTCCTTTTCCACTGAAAGATTTATAATTGCTTTGCTGATTAAATTACTCCGTGACCCATTGTATTCCACGTAATTTATCTTAACATTCCAAGTTCACGTCGCTTTCAAGTAGGCATTATTTATTTTAGCCGTGTAACTGTGTTAATGAATGTGTTTGTGACTTCCTAGGACCGCTACGGTTATTGATGTGCCGTTTGCCTTGAGATGTGCGGTGCACAAGAGATTGAATCCCTCAGTTTCACAGTAGACCTCTGGAAGAACTTCATCTTAAATTCTTCATTATACTGGAAAGTGGCAATCTGCAGAATTGTGCCTTTTTAATATCATTTGTTTTGTCGCGCATTATCTTATCTTCTTTGATATGTGCCTTTTTAATATCATTTGTTTTGTCACGCATTATCTTATCTTTGATATTTTTTTTGATCATTCCTTACAGTTTCAGAAGACGTAGATTGACGTGTTTATTTCTGGACTTGGCGTTATCATTTATGAGAAAAGTTAATTCTCATGTTACTGCTGGTAATGTTTTCTTGGTACACGAGAATTTAGAGTTTTTAGTTTTTCTTTGAGTCTTTATTCACTCTGAAACTCCACATATTGTGAATATTTTGTAAATATCAAATTGTTTGTTTTATTTCTTATGTACACTTATAAAACTTGTTTGATGGAGAATGGGTGATTGTGTGTTTTGGAAAAATTTGGGTGAAATAGATTTAAATATATCATTTAAACAAGGATTCACTAGAACAGGACCTGATGATTAGAGAAAATGACGTCCCACTTAATATTTTTATTGGTTTATGATTTTTATTGTGGCTGAATGACCAAGTAGCTTCATGACTGTAAGAAGGGGAACATTTTCGTGTCGAAACGTCTGTTCTAGTGACACTTTATGTAATGTTCTGCGCTAGAATTGGTACACGCTGCTATCAGAAGGTTGACCACAAAGAATATAAGTTTGCTTAAATAAATACAAAGACCCATTAAAACTCGCATGTACATCACATATTACGTACATAAACGAGGGAACGTGGCCCGATAACCTCTTATAACTATTATTTAGTGGAATGAAAAATGTAATAACTTCACGTTTCTTCTGTACGCAAGTCTAAGGGCGTGTACATTGTCTCCACTCCGAGAAAAAATTGTGTTGAAAATCAATTTGGACACTCGGTTTGACTCCCAGGTTAGCACGACCATAAAATGACACCACGAACTCAAAATGCAGTAGCGCGTGGTTTGCGGTAATATTATTCTAATGTGTGTGTAATTTTGGGAACGGCCACTTGAGGAATGCGGTGTAAATCACATGCAGTGTTTAACACAATGTGTTTGACTTTCTGTGGATATATATGTTCTGAAGAAAAAATGTATGCGGTATAGAACGTATCAACCCTCAGAAGGAAGCACAAATGTTACACAATGTTTTGTGCACATTGGTCCGCCTGAATGCGTACATAAAGTTTACTCAGTGAGTGTTTGTGTACTTAGGAAAGTGGATTATCTATAGACCAGGCCAAGTGCATCAAATTGTTGCTTCAGACAGCCATTTCTATGTAAAATACACATAGAAAATTAAATATGTCAAAATTGAGGTTAATTAATAAAATAAATCTTACCTTACGAAGTGTCTTGCTAATGAACCGGCTGATTGATCCACTTCCCATGCTGAAACATAAAGATGATTAATATAACTACAGTTGCCAAGGCAGATGAGAGTGTGCAATATAGAGATCAGGAAGAAGGTAGGCTTTCAACGACCCGGAAGACAGCCATCATCAGGAAGAAACTTTGTGATGTAATCACTTCCTCAGTTTGAATTTCATCGCAGGGACTGAGTAAGGGAACGTGGAATACGAAAAGACTTGAGCACCTTAGAAGTAAATGGAGAAGGGGCACCTGGGGGCGTGAAAACTGTGGGTTTCTATAAGCAATAAATGGGCGTAAAGACCAGCAAGGTTTAAAAATCACGAAGGCTTTGTCTTTGCTGAATGGCCTGCGTGCCACATGGTTGACCTGGTAAAAACACTGAGCTAACTCAAACCATATACTGCTTTATCACGGCATTTTTAAACTTTCCTTTACACTCCTTTCCTTAGATTAGCATTGCCATATTTCAAAATGTGGTCTGTATTTGCAGTGCACTTATAATATACCTGGGTGGCCTGTGCAGATGTAATGACCCACTTCCGACAGGATCGTGCTTAAACCGAAGTCTATATATTTACGTTACATTTTGGCAAGTTCTTAAATTAGTCTATATTGACCTTCTGAAAACGAAATTTTTCTAAATAATATTTAATAATCCAGTCCGTACTCCCAACGCGTCTCCACGGCAAAGCTGTGTTCCTTGACGCTGTTATTCAGAGTCGTAAATACATAAAAACACATCGATTATTAAAGCTGGCGGTACACACTCGCCACGATAACATTCCATGGATTTTGTTTCCGAAAACACTGACTCCCTCTCGAAGGGAGAAATGTTGTTTGAAATGACAGTACACTCGCTGCCGTTTCTTGGCTCTGCAATACAGACAATTAATTTTAGCCTCCGACCCAGCTTTGCGCTTCTCGTGTCCCGGGATCAGTCCTTATAAGGCTTGGGCCATTCCCGTGTCGCACTCAGCATCCCAGCTCGTGCAGAGTGCGAATGGCTTCGACACCCTATTACGAGGCTCAAACAAGCAGCCTCCTGTTAACGACTGCAGTTGACGCCTGCGTTTGTTTCAAAGACGTGGATCTGCAGGAGGGCCAACATCGGACGATTCCCGCACGATAACACCCAACGCCACCATGGCAACAAACAAAGACGTGCTTAACAGACGAAAGTGACGGCTACAACGAATTAAAAATAGGTCATATATTACAAATACCATTTCAACGTATCACATACTAGCCTAACACAGAACCTTTTTCAAAGTTTATTCTATGATTTTAACGACCCTGCATCACATGCTAGTGTTATACAGAGATAACCAAAACAGATGAAGGAGGAAATAGCGGCGTATCATTTATTTCTGTCCGAAATTTCTTCGAAGGGGGGGTGCCAAACACCATGAAAACATCCAACACCTGTAAAAAATGCCGGTCTGGCTTCAAATCAGACACGTCCAACGAGAGAACAGACTCTTCGAAACATGAAGCAGGAGTGATAATCGATTGACCGATTTGAATTTACTGAAATGAGGTTAACAACAAACATTAATAAGCGATGTTTAGACTACACGCGTTACAAACGTGTCGGAGAAGTTGCCGAATAGTCGAGGGATGAAGCAGTTTCGACACGCGGAAAGGGTGGAGACAGATTTGAGGTATGGGAAAAGTGTTTACACACACACACAAACGCGACACTGCTTGAAATTCAGAAGTCATACACATCTAAGCGATGTTTGAGAAGGTAGTGGGCTGATACCATACCATTTATTACGGAGTGGCAAGAGTCACTCAAAGACATTCTAAAGAATAATTAACACAGGTAACTTGAGTTATGATAGTGAATGATATTTTAGCAAGTGTTTGAGCGTGTCCACGCTAATAAGGAGTACGTATGTTGGGAGTGGCTGCTGATGTAATGATATATAGGCTCAGGTGGAAATTTTGGCTCGAAGCTCTGAATGTGGATAATTACGCCCTTTGGGAGTGTAGAAGAAGAAGAAGAAGACAGTGCACACAGCAAAAAGATAGAATTATATTTTACACAGGGCAAAGACTCTTGGCTCTTTGCCTGCGGAAAACGAAGGCCAGAGAAGACGGTCCATTATGTCGTCGATGGTCAAAACGTAACTAAAATACAGAATGACATCACGCCAGTCACAAGTCTTCTGTTGGGGGGTGAGGGTGGGTTAATGGGTTACTTATAAGCCTGTCTGGCATGAGGTGACTTATTTACAAATCATCATACACAACGAATCACCATGAAATAGGCAAAGTTACACATGCAATCTACAATGAAGATGGAGGCATAACTATCCTTGAAATTATACAGTTCTAATACTGTTTCTCCTTCCTGAAATCTTACTAAAGTTTTACATAATTTTTTTTGCTGAACTGTGATAACTGTCCAGAAATTCCTATAGTTCCACGCATGCGTGATGGGAGTTTTCAGTTTCGCGTTCCGATGGACCTGCCCCCATCTTGAGGCGTTTTTCGGGGGGGTGAGGGTGGGTTAATGAGGATGCAGCCTTGCTTCCACGCCCCCTATACATATATATTTACGGCATAACGTTTAGAAAACGTACCCTAATGAATGTTCAGAAATGCAAACCGAATGTTTTTGCTCGAATTCCGATTTCGAACGATGAAGTCACTTTCACGTTTACAATAAACATTGCTCTGACGTCTGACGTCAGTTCGGTGCGTGTATTCTTGGTGCCGTGCGCAGCGCAGGCGATGCGCTATATTTACGTGAAAAATAAGCACCAGTTTCTGGGCTCTACAGCTCACCTGAACCACACACAAACTGCCGCGTATCTGATATAAATGGGACATTGGTCGCGAGAACAGAATCCTTCTTGAGAATCTGACAGTCGCTCAGACAGGACACAAAAACCACCCCCTCCCCCTTAAGGAGAGACCGACATTTTTATTACAGTGTTCACAGGAGCCCATCACTGGACCTGCAGATGAATTTAGCCCACATCTTATTCCCTTAAGACTGACTTTAATATTATCCTAACATGTGTGCCTGGGAGTATCTTTCCTTTACGTCTTCTGACTGAAATGTTGCATGAATATGTCTGTGTCCTTGTCTTGGAGCAAGAGAACAGTTTTCACATTCATACAAAACAACAGATAATATTATGAAGCTGCGTAATTTAATCCTTTTATTTTCACCGCTTTAATTCTGTGTATTTTAAGATGGATCGTGTTCTGTACTGTTACGATGTTCACCGCTGAAAAGAAAATCCTCAAATCGCAGAGACCTATTTTAAATATTTATCTGGAACATGTAGGTCGTAACGGGAAGTCGAAGAATGCGTATAAAATTTTGATCGTGAAACCTGAAGGGAAGGGATCACTTCGGAGTCCTACGCGCACGTAAATCAAAGTATAATATTAAAATAGTTATTATAGATAGAGGAGGAGGGAAAGAATTGGAACCATGATCTGGACCTACTGAGGGCTTTTGTGAACACATTAATGAACCTTCGGGTTTAATATAAAGAGAGAATTTCTAGATCAGCTTATCAATTATGTGCTTAAGGCGTATCGTGTGTAAGAGTGTTTGGTGTAAGACTTCATACTACGCCTTGTGTTTAGGCAGAACGCTGTGCACGCGTGGCGGAGAAGTTGCCGATCTAGTACGCCCAGAAGGAAAACATCAAACAACAGCCAGCAGAGAGGCGCCTCTCCGCCACGCATGCACCAAATATAGCCATCATAATCTTCTCATCCACTGACTTCCGCACCTGGTGTAACAGCTTGCGATCAGTGGCGGAATTTTCAGTCTCTGTTTCTGAGTCTGAAAATTCCGACGAGAATAATATTTCGACTAGAGAGAGAGAATAAGTAATGGGAGACTGGAGAAAACCGCGTAATTCGGAGCTTCATTATTGGTACTGTGAAATAAAAATTGTTACGAAAATTCCCTTCATAATTCGGAACCCACATGTAGGAAAAGTCTTAAAAGATAGTCTACCCCTGACCCATTAGCAATCCATAAAACATTGCACGACTTTTGTCGTGGGTGACGCACGAATGTTGGAAATGAGCCGCGAGTCAGTTTCATTGACAAACTAATGTTTCGTGTGTATTAGCCATTGGGACGAACCTTGGTTTGCCTTTCAGCAACGAGCCAGTTAAGAAGTTAGAAGTTCAGATTTCACCCCCAAGTATCGTTTGACGAAAAGCGGAGAGGTTATTTTAAACAGCAAAGCGTAAGCCAAGAAAATTAGCGAGTGGAAAAAAAAAAGTTCGTGCTTTCTTCACGATACATGGCACATGGTTTTTGAGAAAATTATCTACAGCTCTGGGTACACAAATTTCTCTTCAATAGTCAGATTCTGAACTACTAGTTCAGAAATATTATTATAATAGTGTTAATTTGCCTTAACACTTTTAAAATGCTTAACAACTATCTAACTTCATGTATCAGAGTATTTATTTAGAAGCTGACAGTAGCTAAGCTAGTCAAAATATTCCCCGCCTCTAATGGAACCCTAAAATTAATTACCGTGTTCACAAATGCCTGCCATCGGCCCCCGTACTGAGCCAAACAAATCCAGTTCACACTTCTTACCCCGTTACCTTATTATCCATTTCAGTATTGTTCTCCCATCTATGCCTAGGTCTAATCAGAGGCCTCTTCCCTTCAGGATTTCCAACCAAAATTACATACGCATTTCTCATTTCTCTCACGAGTGCTACATTCCCCAAATATCTCAGCCATGATTTAATCGACGAGTTAAACTTTAACAGCTCCTCTGTGTAAAGTTCCTCCAGCCTCCTGTCATTTTATCCGTCTTAAGTCAACTTTTTTACTTAAGCATCCCGATTTTTCGTTAATGTGAGGGGAAAGTCTCACGGTCATAAAACAACAAGCAAAATTATAGTTTTATACGTTTCAACGTTTACATTTGTAGACAGGAGGAGAGGAGGCAAAAGTTTCTGAACTGCACGATTTTGCAAGCAATTCCAGATTCTGTCCTGTAATATGGCGACGAGGCAAAAACATGTTTATATTTTTCTCTGGGTAAGTTCGATTACATTAATTCGTGGTTTTGTGTAAATTACCATTGAAATTCGGATTTCTAACACCACTTAAGAATTGACTTCGTGTCATTTAAGCCAGCTCAGTTTCATAGACATACAAGAGTCTGCATCTTCCTAACATATTGTTAATTACTGTTACTGATATCGTATCAAATTACCAATATATATCCCGATAAAATGCACGAATGCCTGTGGAAGGCAAAATACAATTACTACCAGCCAAGTAGTGAATTTGTTTCACGAACGTGTGCTGACATTGTTTCAAACAAATGGACGGTGTCCAGAACACACCCGAGAAAATTCGTAGAGGAACGTTTTTAGTTGTACGGAACAAGTTGGCAGCACGCACCAATTTGGAGGTTCCTTGCGCGCTGAACAACGAAGGGGCGACGCTATTTTTGTAACTGGATAATTCGAGAGTTTGGGAGGAGCGAGGCGGGTTGGAAAGTGTACACCACCAAGGCGCAACTGTTTTGGACAAGGGGTCAGAGCCGCCACAGCCTCCGCGGACTCCACATTCCAACTTCGCGAGCGTCAGGCGCTTCGCCCCGTTTCTAACTTGAGAAAGTGTGAGTAGAATTCACATTCACTACACCAAGTTCTCTGTGCAAGTGATTCTTCGACTTCCATTTTGGTGAACGCGTAAGTTTGATTTTATGATATCAAATATGTTGTGATGGTATGGTTTATTACGAAGTGTTACACGTGTACAACACACTGAGGGAAATTAACATAATTAAAGGCAGTTTTAATTGTTATGGAAAGTGGCTTTATCATCATTGAAAAGATTGCAGAATGTTCCCTCATTTGCAGTATTTTAGTTTTCAATGCATTTTCAGAACTGATAATAAAGTGACGAAGAGTGACGGTCTGTGATCCGATGAGTGAGTGTTTGAAACCAGTGATACTTACGGAACCATGACAGTTCAATGTAATGACAAATGTAGGAGCCAGAGGAAAGTTTACGGATGGGTGAAAATATTCGGATTCGAGACGAGTGTGATTATTGGTGTTGCACGTTCTGGGCTGTCATCAACTGCAGTTTGTGTTGATGTTAAGGAGCGTATCTGGGAGATAAAAAAATCATGACGAAAATCCATTTCAAACGAGCATCAATCAATAATTTATTCTGATGTAATCACGAAAGTTTGGAACAAATTAGTTAAAAATCGGAACGATTACACGTAAAAATAAGGTGTCTTAACTATCCTATTCTCTGTGATAATTTTTGCAACGGTTGTAATAAAACTGCCTTTAATTTGTCAATTACTTTCATACATTTGCATGGAGTTAATGTGAATACGTTTGTGCTGAAGGTGAAGAAGTGATGATTTTATCACCGATAAAGAACTGTAATGACATAAAAGGATTTACGTATTCTATATTCGAGAACACAGTGCAATTTGCTGTCATGAATAATCTCTAGGACGTCTAATTATATCGAGTTTTCTTCTCTGAAAATCATCAACTTGAGAAATTTCTCAAACAAAGTATCATAAATGAATTTAAATAACAGGCTATATTGCGTTCGGGTAAGAACCATGGTAATTCAGTGCTTACACCTCAAATCCTACTAGTAATTAATTCAATGTATTTCTTGTAAAATGGCGTCACTGATTCCCTGGTATCTTCCGTTCATCGGTTTGTATTGCTACAGTAATTTTACGATTCGATATTCAAGCATTATTTACAAATCTTCTAGTCCTTTTCCTTCAGTTAATGTTACTGTTCTGATACCCGTTAATATCATTACTTTAAGTAAGAAATGCACGATTAACGTTCGATTGAAATACGATGCGAAGTGCGGAACGGATTCAACTTGCTCGGGTGGGCTCTCGTGAAAATGATAATGAACTTCTTGATTCCGCAAAAGGTGGGCACTGAGCGACTATCATAAGCTACGTGGGTCAACCAGCCAGCCAGCCAGCAGGGGTCCTAAAATAGTCGGCAACTGGGCCTTCGGCAGAAGTTATAATTAGTTATGTTTCCTGTATGTCTCATTGCAAGTAGTCGAACTGGTCTGTGGCATGACTGGTCTTGTCAATACGGTAAAATATAGTAACACACCAGAAACAAAAATTCGAAGAAATATTCTGATATCACAAACAATTTAATATGCTGAGAACATTTCAATTAGATATGAATAGATTTTGTAGATTATTCAAGTAAAACATTTTTCAGAAACCAACCAATCCCACAAGAATATAAAAAAAGGGTGAGATCAGGTTCCAAGAGCAACGCAAAGTCACAGAGTCTTTATATATAATTAGTAAAACTGGTTGACCTACTGAAGAAAAGGACGACAAGATAATTTCAAGAAACATTATGTTTTTTGTGCAATTTAGCTAGATATTTCATTTATATAGTACATAAAATAAAGTGAGAACCCTTGCCAGAGGTTTTAGTACAATTTTGAGGGCTCACCATCGAAACAAAGATTTCGCCAGAGACTTAGTAAATGTCTCAGATTATGAATGGTAAGCGAGGGGGAGACAAATGTTGTGACAAACGTAAGATCGACCTGGATGCAACAAAACAGATTTTCTCATTTAAAGCGAGAGTGAAAATACGAGCCCCAATTTGAAACACAATCAAGACTTCAGAAATAAGCTTGCTCACTAATGAAATGAAAACCAGTGCCACGTATAGAAATATTTGTAGAAATTAAGTTGTCAGTTTGTGGGAGAGCAGCCGCAAATTAATTTACTGCTTAAAAGACACAGAGACGGAGAGCTTAATGAAAAATATCCCTACTTAATATAAAAATACTCATTCCATTTATCTGTACAAAACCTAATAGAAACGAGAGACATTAAGGAATTGGCATGGAGACTTCAAATTAAATTTCACCTACGAATCCGTATTGAAAATTGTTTACTGCAATTCAGACATGAACGTTTCCGGTGCATCGACAAATAACAATTAGGAAGTAATAATTTATAATGAGTTAATCAGTCACAGAAGTACGAGACGGAAAGTGTCATACAACTAGCGCAAATACCTGCCTTATACATACATCTGCTCTAACTAGCCACACCCACGCGTTCTGCAAACGGCTTCATTCTCAAACTTCTGCATGGAGGTTTATTGATAAAAAGAGGTTGCTACAATACTCTGCCCTCCCCCCCCCCTCTCTCTCTCCAGAGAACAACACTTGTGTTACATTACTTCAAACAATTACATGCCCCTCTTCATCTCTGTTCCAGCCCGGTTAACCATCCACAGCCATGTCCGACGAAGAGGAATACTCGTAATTCCCTGCCCCCCCCCCCCCCTCTCTCTCTCCAGAGAACAACACTTGTGTTACATTACTTCAAACAATTACATGCCCCTCTTCATCTCTGTTCCAGCCCGGTTAACCATCCACAGCCATGTCCGACGAAGAGGAATACTCGTAAGTTACATTTAATTCACAACTTCTCTAAAGCCTCTTAGAAAGAAATCACTGCCTGTTATATTGGTACTGAATATGCATGCAAATCTTTCTTTAGCCCAAGACTATACTTCGCATAAGTTGGTGTCAAATATTGTTTAGAAATGTATTAAAAAATGTTAAAAGTAATAAGGGATATTGAAGGAAAAAACAGACGCACACAACAAAATGTGGTAACTTTCCATATATCAGGCTGTAAGAAGTCACAGGTATCGCCTCAACCTCATTGCCACAAATTACATAAAAGTACATGGAAACATAATGTGTTCCTTTATAATAACTACTTTGTTGAAATGGCGCAAAGAATTATTTACTACTATATAATCATTCTCTTTACTCTTTTGAAGTTTGATCTCAAAAGGAATGTCACGAAAGCCTATTATTAAGGGAAAGGAGACAAATAATGCGGATGGATTGGGGGGGGGGGGCAGAGATATGACAAAAGGAACACGCTGATGTTAGCTTTTATAAGGCATATTCAGTTATATTTATTTCATTTAGCCCAACAGGTTCTTAGAAAATTGTGCACAAATATGTTTAAAATGTTAAATAAGTGAAACAAATTGTAGTCTCATACGGAGGAGAATGAGTTAGAAAAGCCAACATCTGTAACATTTAGGAATTAAAATTAAACACTATGAGGCCTACCTCATTGAAATTAAGTGACAGCCGATGAACGAATCCCAAAGACGACCTGTGAAGAGAAAAGGATTCAAGATAATATTTTTATTCACTTTATGAAAATGATACCAGTGCAGTTAAGGGGAATATTTCATATCATGTACTCAAATGAATTATATATGTTTATATGTGATTAATATCACACGATGTTTACATTGCTGATTAGGTGTGTGCTGTATATCACAATTTATACACTCAAATTATAGAAGTCATTTAATGAAAATCAGTTTATTCTGTACTATATTTGTTTTACTGATGGGCTGACTTCTTGTTTCCAGTGAGGAGGAGGAAGAGACTCAAGTTGATACGTAAGTACATTCTTAAAATTCCTAATATAGTGTTTTAAAATATTCTGTAGTTTTAATTATTCTGAAATATAATTCTAAACACACTTTCCTCCCTATAAGATCATAACAAGAATAATGATATAATCTTTCTTTTATTATTTCTATCCATTTACTTTACTTATTTATAGTTTAAAAAGTATCTCAGACTACAGAGCACCAATTTTGAAACAAAATAAAAGTTTAATCATGTTCAATGCAACTCTCACTTGGAAATGCCTGCTTCTCTGAAACACAAATAACGAGATTCAAACTCTGAACTCTTTAACTTCTTCTGCTTGTCATAGAACAGAATAGAATTTATTTACATTCCATAGATCATTCATATGCCTAAGCCAATGATGTAGAATATGTCATAGCAGAAATATAATACTTGTTTCCAATATAAATATAAATTACAAAGTTATGATAATTCAGAGTTGCAATACAAGTGATAATTCTTAAATAGAATTGTTGCTTGTATCAGGGAAAGTATGATAGGATGAGGATAATAATCTTGGTTATGGAAATAACACAACATAACCATAAAATTACATACCTAATTTATATAATTATTGACTAAATAACTCATAAAGAGAACTACCAAAACACTTTAACTTAACATAACCTCTCACTTGCTTTATAAAGTATCTAATGTTATGTAAATAATTTTGACATAAACAGAACTTTTATTATACGCTAATAACCTAAATACTACTCTACACACAAACTTAAAAATGTAATAAAATACTCTATTATGAATAGTTAACTTCTTGATTCTTTTACATACATTATAATAAATTTGTAGCTGTGACTATACTATGTAACTTCACCTTGTAATCATCTGAAGTGGCCTTTAGCAATTTGGAATCATCATGGAACTGGGCCACACTTAACTTAATAGGTAACACACTGGCATTAGAGAGCATTGATATTTCCTCAACCAACATCACACATGTACACATAAAACTAATTTGGGACCACATAAATCAAATTCAGTTACTACTCAGAACTAGACTTAACCAAAAAACGAATATTCCTTTCATGTATGAGTAATTATTTTCATCAGCCAGATTTGTCTATTGAACTATTACAAACTGTATGGTATATTTAGACTTCTGTCACTAACTGTTTCCTTCTTGTTCTTTGCAGGAAGTAAGTATAACTGCTGCATACAACCACTGAAGTAATCCACTGGTAATGATGCTACATGAGCCTACTGCCATTCAGTTAGCTTCAGCCAGACAAGTAGTTCAACAATCTTACTATAGCCTATGCAACTTTAACCAATTACTGCTGGTTATTAGTAATTAATGCGTTTTGCAGTAGTAGAGACATTATATTATGCATTTTAAATCATAATGCTGAAGTTAACTTTTTGTTAATTGCTAACTGGAGTCAATTATTAACATAGAAGATGCTAAACTACTGATCTATAATATAAGATCTGATTAATACATACAATGCTCATACCTAAATGCTTAGTTCATTAATTTATGCAACTGAGAACATGAGTAATTCATTATAGGTAAACGATTAAGTAACCAAACTCCATTAAGCAATAATCAACACTGTTGCTAAAAATGTTTGTGCACACATGAACTGGTGCTGACTGAAAGGAAGGCAGATAATCGAATAATTTCTACTACTCACCACATGGGACACATGTCCCATTGGTGCTTAAAACCAAAAAAAGTGTAAATTGCAAACAACTAAGGAATGGCTGCTCTAATAATGCTATAATTGCATTAATCACTAATAGCAAATAAGCCACTTGCAGCAGAATTTTAATGACTGTAACATTCCATACAGTAATAAGAACACAAGTGTAATATATGTACACCAGTTTATGATTATACAGCTCCCAGCTATTGGTACTAGAATGCACCGCTTCAAGTAATTCAATGCTAAAGACCTACTGTTCAATATACAGTTGGTTACAATGTAAAATAAGGGTGAGTGTGTGGAATTACAGTACAGAATTGCATACTGATATATATTTACTAATTGTATTATAATTATTATCTTACACAATTTTATGTTTCAGGAAGTGATGTCTAGTAGCACTTATATATTATATTTAATTAATCACAAATTGACACAAGGACAATTTTTAATTATTCTCTAGTCCGGAAACCAAACCTCAAGAAATGTCCATATTTCATAAGTTCTTACCCATAATTTTCATGTCCCTGTGAAAACGATAGATTTCATGCAGTTTTTGTTTTCCTTTGCTCTCCTTCCCTGGGCTGCCATCTATAACACAGAAAGCAACCGGAAACGAAGAAAGAGTAAGTGGATCGCCGTACTTATACAACACTACTTGTTCTTTCTGCTGGCAGTCTTCAAAGGCCAGTCCAATCAGCTGCTCAGCAATCACACTCAATGTGCATTGTTTTACCACACAGAACCAACAATGTCAAAATTAATCAAGTTGCATTCTGGTGTAAAACTATTAATTATAATTCACCCATAGTTACTTTTTAATGAAAACTGATGGTACCAAAATATTGCTTCTTTGTGGTGAGACATTTCAGTGTGTTGACATTTTGCTTTCCATGTTACCAGCCGCTTTTTAAAATTTGAAAATTTCTGATTTTATGTTCATGACAATCTGTCTATTTTGAAAGCAAAGCCTGAAATGTGATCTGTTATAACTAGCACAAGTGCCAATAGTGTTTCTTTAAAATCATTTTAAATGTTGCTCCTCTAAGTATGGCTTTGGAAATATATATTTAATCTTGTAACACAATGGCTAATACTAATATAAATTTGGATTGGCCTTGAGAATTAAAAATTTAAGTTTAAAATCATTTTCTTGTTTTAACAAACAAGTTTTACATATTTTTGCACACTATGTTACTATAAATATTATCAAAAGATCTTTGCTCTGGATTTTTTGTTGTGGTCTTGAGGCACAAGAGGACTGGCCAGCAGGTTAACTCAGTATTTGTGAGTGTGAAGATTCGCCACAGTTAAAGTGAAGCGCTTTGTTTTGTTACGTTTGTTTCTGTGTTGTCTGTGCTGCCTGCTTTATATTCCTTGTATACATTCTTCTTATTTATTCTCTTGGTCTACCACGTCTATCCATCTTTTCTTTTCTTCATTCATGCTCCCTACGTAACAGCTGACAAGTTACAGTCATAACACATGGACAGACTTGGTTCAGATTCTACCATGTCCAAAGTTAAGTGTATGCACAATGTGCTAACAGTTATGTGTAACATACAAGCTACCTGGCTATGGTTTTACTTAATTATATGTAATATGTTACTGCTCAGAGGGAACAGATAGCAAAAGATATGCTGTGTTACAAAGAACATTATAGTTTCCAAGATGCTTTGGGCATACTTCATCTGTAGCACCTACAATTTGTTTCTAAGATGAAATTATCAAATGCTGAAGTACAACCAATTTGCAATTATGTGGGGTGATGGTGGTTACTGGAGCTATGGATATTATTAAAAACATTTCCAATATAAACACCCTAAAGGAAGTTGTCACAATTCTGTCTTTGACTTGAACCCTCATCTGTATACACAAATTTTCTTACTTCCTAATTAATACACAGTCACAAAAATTCCACTACACTCATCCTATATAGAGTTTTGCAATAAAATGGAAGATAATTTGCTTACTTGAAATACTTTAAATAAAACATTTAAGAATTATGTTAATGATCACATCAAAATACAATGTATACATAAACTGAATTTTGCCCATCAGTTTCTTTTAAGCTAATGCGACTCAGAAATTCAATACATCTTGAAGCTGAAAGGTACTGATAAAATAAGAACACTTTCTTTATAAATATATGTTACACAATGTCAGTCATGTCATACAATACAAATTAGTCAGTATGCTATATTTTGGAAACAGGACAACACCTCAGTTTTGTCTCCAGTTCATACAAGAGGACTGACCTCAGAACATTCCATTTTGTCTCGGAAAATTTTTCTGGAAGCAAGAAATTAAAATAAATTGGAACACCTAAAGAGCAAAGTCTACATAAACACTGACACAATGTAACAGAAATTTCTCAATAAGATTTTCATATGTTGGCAACTACTCATTCACAGAGCAATGATGAAATACTTGTGTTACGTTCACTGTTTCTGTGGGCCCTTGCTTTAGTAAATGATTCTAAGTTTTACAAGCATTCAACTTTCTACAGTTTATTCATGTATTTTTGCCTTACATTTTGTCGTCAAATAATGTATGTTGACAAACAAAATGTCAAAAATACACAGTTTAAGATATATTATTATTTAATTAAATGTTTCTGATCAGGAATCTTTGATTTATTTAAAAATACAGCTCATTAAATTCAATAAACTTTAATTCAGCAGTGGCTTATGACATAATAAAACAGTAAAAATGAACGCTTTTGCTTTACACATGACAGTATAGGTACTTACGATCATAGTGTACAGATGGTTTGAAACTACTGTAGTTACTTAAGTATCCCCAGTAGTGTAGTCCATAGTGATTCAGATATGCAGAGGAGTTCACCTGGCATGATTACACACTGCATACAGACAGCAGTATACCTGAAAGAAATAGATAGAAAAAGTAATTCATGCATTTTAAAAGCATTTCTCAACTGGTGTCAAGTTTAAGAATTCATATTAACTATCAATTCGACACAGATTTTACAAGTGTCAACTATGAACATTACAGAAAATTCATTACATTTCCTTCCACTAAATTACGTTACTAAACAGTGACATTATTTTTCAGAAATTTCTTTTAAACTTAGAATACTACACAGTATAATTTAAATGTTCAGAAAAAGTATTTGTATAGAGAGAGGATTAATGTATACTCAAACTCTTTTATAATATTATGACACAACACAACTAAATTTAATGAGTTTGTTCTGATTTTATTTTTGTTTCAAACACAAATTAGATCTTGTGAAAAGTCATACATTTGGTTTTGCATAAAAGTTACAGATAAAGGAAAAATTGTAGTATATGTTACTGGTTAGCAAAGAAATTGAAATTCAGTAATGTACTTGTTGCTTTTTTTCAAAAGGTTTCTTTGTGTCCCACCAGAATAAAATAAAGAAACAAACAATGAGGTCTGAGGTCACTGCACAACCTCAACTTAAACATAACAAACTCAGAAAAATTTTAGTCAGTAGATATAACAGGGTTGAGAAATGTTTCAGTACTTTGACTGAGATTTTTAGACAGTATTGTATATTGTAAATGTAACCTATCTGAGCTTTTAAGTTGTTGAAACAAGTTCCTGTACGACTGAATTTCGTTAATCAATATGATACATAATATTACAATTTTTTAATAGTCCAATATACAAATTATTAAAACTGGCATCTAATAACTTTTAACTAGCTGTTATTTAACAACCAAAAATTCATACAAAAAAGCACAGAATATGCTTCCAGACAGATTTGGGAATACTACCCTCACCACAACACGTGCTATATTAATTATCAAGCATATGTTTCTTCCATTCTATAAGTAGTAATGAAACATTATTACAGCTATGAGCTTGTTACATTTTCCCAGTATCAATTTAGTGTCAATTGCTAAACATAAATTTGATGAAAAAACATGTACTTTCTTGTATAAATCTATAGATCCATTACGTATGCCCAACACACAAATATTTTTGACATGTACAACAAATACAGAATTAAAATGTTTAATTGTAGTTTTTGCCACACCTCAGCTTAGAATTACTTTGTGGGACTTCAATCCTGATCAAAAATGATATTAAGCAATTTCTTTAAAAAATATGAATCACACTGTGGTGGCAAAATTCCTTATCTTAAATGAAGAAACAAATTTAAATAAAATAGCAGATTCGTGGTTCATTATGTGATCACATGTTACATCCTGTACCTGAAGTACAAGAACTTGGTTCAAAGTTTTGACTAAGACATATCATCCTTAGGCTTATTACCATACGTAGATTTTAAACATTAAAGTAAAGAAACTGTTTTACACAGTAACTATTTTTTAGTATTGCTAACTCTCTTGGTGTTAATATTAACTGAGTGTAATTGGCTCTTTATTTTGTTCTTTTATAGGCCCAGGCATTCTGTTGTTGTGTAAGTCTGTACAGCAGCACTATGTGTTACATGTCTTGGAGGAACACACATTGGCATGTCTGTGCACTGAACGAGAGAAACGCTGCTTCCCACATGCTCTCAAATCTTATGCCCAATTTTTTTAAATTCAGTGATTCACTAAGTATTTCAGTTTTTCATGCATGTCATTTGTTATGAATAAACAGTTTATAATTACTGACCTATTAAAACATGAGTGTGCCAGTGAATATCCTTCCCATGATAGCAAACGTGCACCTTTGTGTCACGTTTCTTTTTCCAGTACCTAATAAGTTGCCGCACAGAAGTGCGTTTTCTTTTATGATGTAACAAAGTTCAGTCTTCTGATATCAAACACAGCTTATATATTATTAGTAAGAAAAGGAATACAAAAACATCTATTCTTTCATTAAATTCTCTACTGCAAACTTAAAATTGTAATATTCTTAGACAAAAATCAGTTACAACTGGTAACCACAAAATTAATCACTCAAGAGTTAGCTAATTTTCACTATCCTATTATTTTCTTCCTACAGGAAAATATCCTTTAAATAGCTGATGCAAGATCACATTTATGTGTTTAGAACAAAAGACTTTTGTGGATGGAACCAATGGGAAGCAGCATTTCTTTCTATTGTCTTTCTTTTTATCTCTTCCCCCCTCCCCCACACCTGATGGCTGTGGCCTTCCAACCAACCCTAGAACCCCTTTACCCATGTATAAGTCACCTGACCAGCACTTCAACACCCTACAGATTGGGGCGCTGCGTGTTCTGAAATAATACCTACTCGAGAATGGCATGGTATATGAGTCACTTTCTGATCACTGTTTTGCATTACGTCAATAAAGTTACATGGCCATTTATAACATTGATTGAATGATTTTCCTTTGGAAACAACAAACAAGCCTGCCCTAAATGCCCCAAATATGGCAAAACTTAGTGATAACAGAGCCTTTGAAACTGACTTATAGCGCAAGTGTGCTGGTGATTGAAAAAATATGCAAAATTATCTTACATGCATGAGTGTATATTATGTGAATATCAGTTTCTCTATCAGCATTCTATTCATGATAAACACACACCTTCTTTACACAACTGAATGATACCACTCTGTCACTGCTGTTTTAACCAAAATGTAATGTTAAACTGAAACTTAAATACTACTCATTCAGGATTCCTCCCTCTAGCACCTTATAGCACCATACAGCAGGAAAATAGTTCCCTTGTACAAATTAGTGAGGCAAACTCAATTATAGGACCAGTTATTTCGAAATAAAGTCTTTTTTTTAAGGAAGTGTAATTATCGTGCACAATTACATTCTCAGCATGACATGATCACCAAAAACCATAAATTTATAGTTGATATATTTGGAAAATAAGACAATGTGCAAAAATAATAAAATAATAAGGTAAATTACTCACATTATTAAGAGAATGATTATTCAGTTTCCACTGAAAGGTGCGCTTGCTGTTTGCCATCACTAACTTGTCTGTAAAAATGTCTATAAATGAGCATACTGTGGTCAATTTTTATCGGTCTTAAAATTAACAAGAAATGTTTAAGAACTACTTCTGAATCAAGAATAAGAGATTAATAACTCAACTTCTCTGTGGAAATGTTGTGTGAAAGTGCAACCAATCAAATCTGTTTTGTAATATCTGTGCCAGTAATAAACTCTGCCCTTCTGTTGAGTTCTCACATAATTCTCTTGCATCATGCGGAACTCAGTGCAAGTTTTCTATTACAGGAATTTTATGCTGTGTTTCACAAACATTAAAAATATTTCTGTTGTGGTGTGTTCTGTGAAACAAGTTTAAAAGCCACTGTGCATGTTCTCAGTGAAAGATCATTTTATTTTTATTTTCATCCTATTTTTTCCTCATGCAATTAACACACCTATGCACAGTTATTTTAATTTGGGCTGAAGTTTGTGCTTTTGTGTTTGTTCTAAACTTCATGTGGCAAGTATCATTATTTGAATCAGTAACAGAGTTACCATATATATTGAAATATCTTCAGTTTCAAAATTTATATTGTATTAGATTTACATGACATAAACGGTTATTTGAGACCTATAAAACTTAATACAAGGTCTGTTTCTTGTTTTATTACAATAATTCCAGTTCTCAGACATAGGTATGGAAGCAAAGTTTTGATTGGCAAGGTTATACACAAACATAATTCAGGAGAAAATTAATAGCCTTAGCTTATAGAACAAAATTAAATCTGATTATTTGCTTTCAAATACTTTCTTTTAGGGTGGAGGAGAAAGGAGATCCAGAATTTGTTAAGGTGAGTTGCATATCAGTTCTAAATTTACATATACAGAAATATTCTTTTTTGTTACGTCTATTCATCTTATTAGACTGTTGAATTTTTTAAGTTGTCGGTCTCTTCCAACATACACTGTGCAATGGCAGAAATGCGGTAAGAAGAAAATGAAACAAGCTGATTTCTTCAAAATGGATAAACATGTATGTCTAAAATTAAACAGCAATATTTCCTCTTTTGGTCATGTCAACTTTCTATTACTCTGAGAAATTAATGCACACAAAATGTGGCATTCCACAACAGCAAGGTGGGAAGCCATTGTATGCAGTCCTAAACACTCTGTGTACAGGAGTAATACATATTTCTGCAATTTGAGGAATTAAATATTTATCAAGACTGAATATGTTTAACTACCAGTTCTAATAAGTATGGCTTAATGTAATTAATTTTTAAAATACCATCTCCCAGCTAATTGTTAATATTTCATGCAGCGTCAAGAACAAAAGTCATCTGCTCTAGATGAACAGCTTAAAGAATACATTGCAGAATGGCGCAAACAACGCGCAAAGGAGGAAGAGGACCTCAAACGGCTCAAGGAGAAACAATCCAAACGCAAGGTGTGTGTTTAACAAGAGCGGTAAAATCCAAGGTACCACATACTGTGTTGTTGCTCTGCTTAATAATATTATCCAGCTTTGTTAAGCACAAAGTATCGATACTTAACGCACTCACATGAAAAGTGACCATTGTTATACTGGTGAAATATGAAGTAAAGCAGCATAAATCTCTTGAACATGCTAAAATTGATATACAGTACACAATGTCAATTCTTCTGTGTCTGTTAAATTACTGAAGATATCTTTATAGCAACATGTTCTAAGATATGAAACACATGTGAACAGGTGATGCGAGCTGATGAGGAGAAGCGCATGGCCGAGCGTAAGAAACAAGAAGAGGAAAGGAGAGTCAGAGAGATTGAGGAGAAGAAACAGAGAGATATTGAAGAGAAGAGACGACGTCTAGAGGAGGCTGAGAAGAAGCGCCAGGCCATGATGCAAGCCCTGAAGGTAGGAAGAATACAGAAGTCAGACAAATGTATTACATACATTCTGAATTCACATAATGTTACAGAGGATATTATATGGTTGAATTCATTTACTTCTACAGGAACAGAAACAACAGAAGGGGCCCAACTTCACCATCCAGAAGAAGGATCCATCAGTAAGTACATTTACATCTCTCATCTAATATAACAAAAATTTTGTTTGCAATAATCTTTGATTAAAAAGTAATCAGATCAATATTCACCTAACCTAGATCTGGAAGCAATTCAAGAGCAGCAGTACAGTGTACAGGCAGTGGCCATTCCATGTCAACTCAGTTTCATAACAAAGTATAAATTTATTGAACATATCATATAATTTTAGATTTCTTCTGTATTGCTTACTTTATTTGGGTGTATCTACAAAAATGGAAAGACTTTTATCCCAGGTTGTATTGTGTGGCTTCATCCATAATTGACTGGACTTCAAAACTCAGTTTACGCCAGTTTAAATTTTGTTTTCTGTCCCTTCCAACACAGTATCACATGTCCTATGCCTGGAATATCTCAATATGAGAATCGCCACTTTTAAAAATATGGCAATATAAGTTTTATAACACAAATATATATGCACATACCAAAATATATAACTATATGTCAATAGGTAAAATTATATTTTAAGGATTTCAATGTGTGATATATTTGTGGGAGTCCATATAATTTTAAAATTTGTTACAGTTCAATTTGTCATCTGCCCAAATTGAAAGAAACAAGACCAAGGAGCAGCTTGAGGAAGAAAAGAAGATCTCGCTCAGTTTCCGCATTAAGCCTCTGGATATCGAGAACTTAGGCGTGGACAAACTGAAAACCAAGGCAACTGAACTCTGGGATGCAATCATCAAGCTGGAAACAGAGAAGTACGACTTGGAAGAAAGGCAGAAGAGACAGGATTATGATGTAGGTATCACCGTTTTGGTATATAGAAGAAGCTGGACTGCAAAATGTCCATCTTGACACTGAGTGCAGTTGATTCATACTCAATGATTAAAAAAAATCACAGACAGACATCTGTGTGAATGAATGCTCTCAGATCTACTTGGGTTTAAGATTTAATCACTTTTCATTAGCAACGTTGAATCATATGTCATTTGTGTTCAGACAATATGAAAGCTATGATTAGTTAATATTTGTAATACTGCAGCTGTTGAGGACACTTTTCATAATACAATGGAGTCCTTTTAGGAAATCAGCAATGCATTCAGTCAAACCTTAACTTATCATAATGATAGCATCTCTTGGAACTGGATTCAATTCAATATAATTTTTTATTTTGGCAGAGCATGTGCTTATCAAGAAGGATGAGACGTGAGGAAAACTAACATTGATTTGAAAATGTCTTGGGAAATCTAGGTGTAATTATAGGATAACACTTTTGTATCCATGTTATAAGTGTGTACATCCAAACATCCTTGGTCTTGAGGGAAATTTGTATATTTCTCTATGTCGTACCAGAGAACATGGGAGTAAGCCACTGAAATTTCTTTTTTGCATTCAAAGAATTACAATGAAATAACTCAGTTTGTAGGAAGACCCTTACAATCATAAGTCAGTAACTCTCTCTGGAAGATGGCTGTAACTCTGCAATCTTTTTTTTTTTCAAATACCCAAACTACTTATAATTTAAAATATACCACAAATCATGTTGTATGTTGTCCATACCTGTTTCACTGTGCACTGTGGTCTCTTAATGTAATCCAGCAAGTGATGTGAGGAACCTCATCTTCTGTGCCTCCAACCTCTTCCCGTCCCCTCTTTTCAGAATTCACATCTCTCATCTAAATGGCAACAAAGTACTTTATGTTAAAAATAACAAAATTATAATTGAATATACTTTGACATATTTCTTCTAACTGATCCATTCATGTTACTAAAATTATTTATCTTATTTCCAAGTACACATCTCTGTAACTGAATTTCCTAGGTATTTAATGCCTTAACCTGTTCAATTACTAACAATAATTACTGTGGCTCTGTCGATCTTATGTGTTAATTACTTGTTCTAGCTGAAAGAGCTGAAGGAGAGGCAGAAGCAACAGCTTCGCCACAAAGCCCAGAAGAGGGGCCTGGACCCAGAGTGAGTATAATACCAATGAAACTTCTCCATAACCACTCCCCAGTAAGTGTTTGTAATATACGATTACGTACCTCAGATTTACTGAAAAGAAGGTATATTTTACAGAGTCACAGTATCCAGTTTTATAAAGCAGTTGTACATTACATGACCTGAATCAGAGGTTTCATTATTCTGTGCATAAGCTTATAGTAATAAGCAGGTTTACTACAATAGAAGTAATTAGTTCCACATTCAGAAGTGAACTGGTCAGTGTAGCTATTTGCTCATACTCCTTCCTGGTTTATTTGGTGATGCTTTCAAATGCCAACATTATAATAGCACTGAATGACAGGATGATTAAATGAATAATAAATTGTAAAGAATTTGGAAAAAAGCAGTAGTGGCCCAATTTGAGGTACATCCTCACATTTGTCTGGTGGAATGGAAAAGCTGGTCTCTGAGCGAGTATCTGAAACCGAAATATCCTAAATATAATGCAGGAGTGCCAACAAGTCGACAGCCATGTTTAGCGCCAATCTGAATATAAGAATAAATGTAACAGTATAAATATAATGGACACACTCTGATCTAATTAATATAAAACAGTATCAGTATGCAAGGAGCCATCGCTCCACAGTTTTTAATAGTGAACATATAATCTGTTTCATCAAGTCACAAGCAGTGAAATATGTTGAATTCAGTTGAATTTATATTTCTTTAACATCGATATGGCTGCATAATAGAGATTAACAAATTATGCATATAAACACATTCAAATAATATTTATACAAAAATGGAGAGAGGCAGCAGAGAAGTTAATACAAGTTTTAACATTATTTTGAACCACATTCTTCCACATATCTCATTTCATTGTCTGTTTTATATGGTTTGTAATTTCTTTCACTCTTCTTCTGTTTCAGAGCTCTAACGGGCAAATACCCCGTAAGTACAATATTATTTTAATTATAAATTCTGAGAGTTAATCATTAGCATTATGAGCAATGATAGTTCAGTATGTATAGTGAGTGGTTATAAGCTGGAGGACAGATTGAACATCCAACAGGGGCCAGGGCTTTCTCTCTGTCATCACATGCAGATGAACTCCGCAGTTCACCCAGTCTCATATTAAATGGATACCAGGGATTCTGTCCCCAGGACTGAAAAGGTCATAACATGAAGCTGACCACTTACCTCCATCTAGTGCTGAGATTATGAATAAGAATAAGATTAAGAATGTCTGAAATTCACTTACAATTTCTGACTCATCTGTGTACATCCTGTTGTTTCACACATGACCCCTCGAGGTCTCTTCGGCAGTCACCAAACCAGTTAGATGACTAGCTCATTTTCTTTTTCTCAGGCTTCAAGGTGTCATGAACCTGGAAAGATACATGGTTTGTTATATTTTAATGTCAAATTCAAACTGAATCTGGAGAGTCATGCCATCCACTATCAATGAGAAGTTTTGCAAGGCAGGTACTCTGTTACATTGTTAGACCATGGACAGGAGCAAAAGAAAGAAGTAGAATAGTCTTAAGAAAGGAGTGGCTTTGGTCTTTGCAATCCTGAGCCTAGCATTTGCTTGGCGAGAAAATTACACAATAATCACCAGACACAATTATAATATTCTGATCTTCCAATGCACAGCTCCTCAATAAAAATTTAAAAAGTCAAGCAAACTTGAATAATTCCATCTTGAAATGGTTTGTATCACCATCTTATTTTACATGAATTATAAATACACAAAACATTAATTAATCCTTATCAAGAAATCATGAAAAACTACAATTCAGTTCATTATATAAAATTAACTATCACTAAACATAAACCACCTCCTATTTTGATAAGTTGGTGTGAAAACAAATTACTTCTAACACTGACTAACTATACAAACTATGAGTAGTGGTCATAATATTTATTAAGTTTTTGTTGTTTATAGC